CTATAATCTAATCTTAATTTTGTTTAATGTAAAACCGTTTTGGTCTATCGTAAATAGCTAAAGTTGGAGCAACGCTTAGCTGAGCCTAAACTTGCTGATTATTTAATAATTAATTTTATGTTATATGTATATGTGTGTGTACGTATATGCCAATATATGTATGTAACTAGACGCAGTGTCATATATCTTAAATTATTTGTCCGACATTATATAGTAGTCATTAGTATAACTACTTCGATCATTAATTAGATATACATACCTAAATTATTTCACAATGTTAATTTCAAATTCCGCAAACCGTTCGCTTCCCGCTTACAAAACGTATGGCGTACTTTCACGGCATCATAATAATGGAAAGAGACTACAAGAGATTAGAACATAATGGTGCGGAGGTGGGCGCGTGGGAACGCTCCCAGCGTTCACGTGCCCGGCACATCACTTCGCTACACTAAATCTAACATTAATATGCTAGATTTAGATAACCCTTCTGAAGATGTGTATTTGCCGCTGATGTGAAATAATGGCATGAAAATTGCACTGACAAAAACATTAAAAAATGATGTTGTAAAATATAAAACAAAATATTTTGCACTTTAATTAAAAATAATACAATATCTATAATAAAAGCTATGCCTAGATATTACATTAATATCACTATAACAGAATTTTTATATGTATGAAGTTATAAATATCAAAATTCAACATTCAAATCATACATAACTTGCATGAATAATACAAGTGAATGAACTACGCAGGAAAATCAATTATGCTTTCATTCATAAACTCGCAATGGTTCTATGTAAGCGTAGGTGTCCATAAGTCACCGGCCAATAAATCAGCACCTATGCACAAATGAGTGGGCCAGTTCATAACAAAAACTTAAATATAAATTTGATGTTAATTAGTATGAGAAAAAAAAATGTATGTATTATATTATGTAAATGTTATATATCTTTTGTATACGTAGAATATGGCAAATGTCTTTAACCACATAAAACATTTGGCATTCTCGTGGGCCGCGTAGGTAATAAGTATAAGTACAAAACAATAAATCATGAATGGTAATGTGGGTTATTGAAATGAGTATGGTGTCGCGTAGGCTCGAGCGCTTATTTGATGGGCAATGGCAATAGTGCCTAGTTAGTGGTTCCGGATACGTATCGGACGTGTCGGATGTCGGCGTGAGTCACGCGGCGCCCACGCTAGAGCGCCGCGCCTGCTGCCAGCCCGCCACTGCGCCCACTGGCGCCCGACCTGCTCACACGCCTCGCGAAAATTCACTATGAGACTGATATATATGTATTGACGTATATTAATGGTGACTTATAGTATTTAGACCCTTTTACAAAATGTATTACTCGTAGATTGGTATGAGCAATATCCATTTGTAAATGAAATGTCTTATTTTATAAAGTGCCAATAAAATTTCACTTACAGCAGATTGATTATAAAAAAGATACAAAAGATTATTCGTTTCGATCTTGGATGATCATCATTCATCACCCATTTTGATTTCATCAAAAATTTTCAATATTATATGATCAAGAAGTTTAGTCGCACTTAATCCTAGTTTTACAATTTTATTGCAAAATTTTATTATGCGTAGTACATTTGGTAGTAGAAAAAAAAACAGTCAACTACGAATCGAATTCAGAAAAAAGTTCCATACTTTAAATATTATATACTTAGTTTATTCTCTTATTTGTTAAAGGATTGGTGTTTCATAAATTAAATAAAAAAGATAAAAAGGTCAACACTACTTGATCCCACACTTCAAACCTCGTATTCAATAACTATAACATGATTTTTCTAATTTTACACAAATTAAGCAAGTTCTATAAGAGTACAGACGATTTCAAGTCGGATAGCATTTGTATTTGTTTCTGGAAATAACAGCAATATTTAACATGTATAAGACACCACACAAGGATTTCTTTGTTACGGCCTCTACTTTGTTGCTAGTCTTAGATATATACCTACCATAGGTATGCCTTTAAAAATGCGTGCACCCAGTGCACCCACCACTAAAATTACCAGACACTTGAAAATCACGCATCGAGTCCATACCGGTCGCATCGCGATTCGCAATATAAATGAACAGGGCCGTTACCGAGACAGATTTAGCCAGCGTCTGCGGCGCGTCTAGGCTATTCGTATTTGGGTTTTGGCATTGGACATTTTGCAGTCTCGTGGGAAACCGAGTTGAACGACTGCGGAGACAATGCGGTTGTCTGCGATCGCGGACAGTCGTTCACCGCACGATACCGCCCACCCGTGTGCCCTAACCATTACACCTAGTGCCTTCTTGCACCAACTGCGAAGATTGCAAGTCTTCCGCGTTGACAGTTTACAGGAGCCAATCACAACAAATGCCTAAGAAGCGTTAGTAACTACTACATGTTGCACCTGGATTATTGTTTTTTTTTTTTTTTATAAAAGAAAACTAATATTTAGATACTAAAGTATTAGTATAGACGCAAGGGATAGTTGCATCTTTGTACTTTTTTTACTGCTGTATATCAAACCTTAGGTATTATCTCCTCTATGTGTAACAATTTTTAGTGGAATCTTTATTGGTTACTAACTATAAAAATGTGGTACTATTTTCAAGATAATTGTACCGTTTGTTTCCCGAATAAAATAAATAAAACATAAAGCTATACATACTCATAAGTTATTTTCCATAGAATGTCACCGCACAATACTTTCATTATTTTATGAATTAAATTTGTTGATTATCGTAGAAAAATCAGTTACTAAAAACTAGACGCCAAGTTATTGGCAGTTTATAGCCGCCATGTTTATTTTATGATGTATAAATTAGATAGTCTATAGCACTCCCTCGATTGAGACAAATTGAAACAACACACACAACACTCTATTTATTAATTTACTAGTATTAAATTATTAAAATCCATTAAAACGATTAAGCAATAGTTAAGTACAATGACGCCAAAGATCCGATACACTTAAATCGAAACATATAAATAATTTTTGTTCAACCGATTTCAAATAGAAGGAGGTTCTCAATTCGGTTTCGTATTTTTTTTTATGTTGTTACCTCATAAGTTCATCAATTCTAAATCGATTGATGATTTTTTTATCTATAAAGAGGTGTAGGTATGCTATGCCACATTGAATTAAGATTTGAAATAAAAAGAAATACTACATAAGTACTATGACGAGTGTTACAATACTAGGTATTCTGTGGTATTACTAGAACTGTAAACAGTGGATAAATAGGCATTTGATTCTGGTAATGTACTACAATACGGTATTCCTAACTATTAATCTCGTACAATTGAAAAAATCTGCAAGCTGAAGTGGCTCTGAGCCGGCTACATGACTTAAGCAACCCAACCCAATAAGAAGAAAAGATCTTTAGTATTTACTCGGTGCAGACAAACGTAATTTGGGACAAATGTACCAAGTCGGAGTGCGAGATTTGTGCGTTGTGACGAAATATGAAGTGATTCTGTTTAGTAATGAACAATATATGCATTATACTCGAATCTAATGATAATGTGCTGATGAATCGAACTCCTATAAATATTTCAAAGTTCGTCTTTCGCCTAGAAAAATATTTCTCTAAATATATTTCGGATATTATAAATGATTAATTCATATTCAATAACATCTAGTCATAATTGGAAATACCTTCGGAAATCTGCACGCATAAAATGATCTCATAAAGGTGCGGTCAGCAACAAAGCAGATTAATGGATTTGCAAATCTTAATACTAACTGTACATAAACTACTCTATTATCATAATAGCCTCTTACACGTTTGCATATCTTTGCCTTATATCTTCACTGTAGAAATTAGACAATGTTTTGTTTTGCATTTTGCAAACAGGTATCAATACATGTTGCTAAATATTCATCTTTTTCAAGAGTTGTTATTATTATTGAAAATATAGAATAAAATGCCTTACAAAAGCTTATACTGACAGTGAGCTACGTCCTAATTATATCAATCAATCGATATAGCATCAATACGAGATCCAAGAAAATGTCAAGAATTTAGTACGTACATAGTTAGCTTACTAGTTTACTCTTTTTTGGAGTGGCAAAAATTCAGCAAAAGCCTCGTTTTAAAGAACTAAATTATAAAATGCTAATAAAAATGTACTTATTTAGTTTTATTTTGAAATATGAAATTTGAACGTCGGGTAGTATCTCAAGGGCGGGGGTTGGTCGATAGGCTTTGGCCGCGAGCCAGGCGGCCGGCGTGACCGCGACGCGCCGCGGCATATAAATCCACCCTCACATTACCAAAGTGACAGTTCTCAATTACATTAGGTACCTACAACGTGTATGAACATTATAATTCTTCGAATGGTGCACTTTTCTACGGATAACTATTACCACACTATTATAGCATTTAGGACAATATTACACCTTTGTTCTGATATTTAAAAATAATTCTGTTGTTGCATGATTTGTCTGCTGGTATGATTCTAAAAAAGTAAACTTGCTTGGTAACTTATAGGATTATCCAAAGTATAGAATGTTACATTAAAAAAAATGTATAATATATAGTGCTTTATGATTTCTATCGCAGCACCGTAACACTAATCTGTTCAAATCATCTCGTAATAATTTAAAGATTAGAATGCAGAAAAATTTTAATTTGAAAATAATTATCTATGACATTATTATTGATATATCAAATGTAGACTCTGTAGTATATCTCTAAGTATATCTATTATCAGCCTTTTATTAAAAGCTCTTGTTAATAGCTCTGCCTTTAACGACTTCTAAGAGTTGTTCTCTAACAGTTCTTGAGGTTCTGCATGGATAAGAATTTTATGCACCACTAATTTCAAACAAAACTTTAATAGCTAACATATCGTGATTAACATTATTAAAAGCCCTGCGTAATTTGAGCGTATTATTACTAAATTTTTTATGATACAATCTCTGAAATAAGAGGTAAATTTAAAGTAAATGAATCGTATAAAAAGAAATGGAAATATACCATTAATTTATTATTCTAGATGAGCGGCAAGCGCACACGCAGCTATAGATGCGCGGTCCACCAACGAGACCGCGAGGTCAGCTCCGAGAACGACTTCCATCTGCTTCTAGAAGATCCTACATTTTTTGCAAGGTAGGAATGACAGTTTTATATTTATTAATAACTAACTTTTTGCCCGCTACTTCATTATGCGTGGATTTTAGAAGTAGAAAACCAAATTGAATAAATCACTTCTAGATGGTGTATCAAGATAAAGCATATATCAGATTTTTAAGTTAGACCTTCAGGAACAGAACTGTGAAAACCGCATCAAATTTGACGCACTAGTTTTTGCGTGATGCCGGGACAAACATACAGACAGACAAAATTTCAAAAAATTATTGTTGAGGCCTCTATAGCCTTTATTAAGATCCCTTTATATTAATTTTTCATATCTTGCAATTATGTATACAAATATCATCTAGTTACAATTTACAATTAATAAGATAATATCGAACCTATTTTTAAATGGAGACTACAAATTAACGTGTTATAATGGTTTTTTTTTTTTTTTTAATAAAAATATGTACTTATATGTTCAATCTTAGATTGATTTTGTTGCACCGACAAAATAAATATTAATCCAAGGTTTAAATAAAATTTCTATAGAAAGCGCTCGAATCTAGATCATAGTAATTTACTAAGTAAGGAGCTACTGAAAAAAAATAATAAATAATTTAGTACACATTATGCAGAAAAACAAACCAAAATGTTTTATTGTGCATTGTTTATAAATTTTTTACAAACTGTAACAAAAACAATATTTTGATCAGAAATGTCCTGAAAAACATCAAATCAGTTATGTCGTGACAACCTGACAATCAATAGATAGATCACAATAAAATTCCTTTTGATTAGTAAATTAAAAGTAAAATGTAATCGAAATAACTAAATACAAAATATATTCAGTTTTACAAAATCATAACGTGTAATTTCTCTTTATTAAATTGAAACTCTTGTATCGATTGACGGTTGCTAAAAATATAGTTTTTATGTTCACTTGTCGTGTCACATTGACATGTGCTGTGCTGTCTTACAATAAAATTGTTAAATGGTTTTATATATAGGCCGAGAATAATTATAATCGTTAAAGTAAGTTGATTGATTGTTAGCAATTTCATGTATTTAATTTTTACGAATGCGATTATATTGCAACATATTGACAATGTTTTCTGTAGCCATTGTAGACGAGAACCTTACTCAACTAACCAATTAATCAAAACTCTTCCCAATATTATAAATGTGAAAATTTGTAAAAATGCGTAAAGGTTTGTGACTCGATTAGAATCTGTAGAATTTAGTCCACAGAGAACAAAAACTCCTTTATGTTAGTCGAGTACTTTTAAAGACACATGTAATTACATGTCGCATCTGACATCCAATTTAATGGTGGATAGATTTGGCGTACATTAATGTTCCTCAAGTCTTTAAAGGTCCGATAGAATTTAACCGTTAAAAAAAAGGCTAAGCCCAGAAATAAGGCATAAGATTTAACGCATAAAACTTTTAATCCTAATTCCACCAATACCTACGTACAGAAAGTCCCCTTATGAAAAAATCTGCATATTTTCAAGTCATATTAATACATAATTGCATATAATTCATTCAAAGATTCAAGCCCATAAACTAGTTGTTTTGTCTTCATAACACATAGGAATGTATCGTACCGTGATATGAGAGACCAAACATAAAGCTGCACCAATTTATAAGTTTTATTTTATAAATTGACCCGAAGAAAAACAAAACGTACAAAAGAAAACCATATTGCCTTTTCATATCATACCTATGATGTTTCAACCAGCTTCGAAAACAAGGTCCTCAATTTGGGTAAAACAACCAAATTGAGTTTGGTTACGTTTGTTACCTCATAACTGCGTCAATTTTAAAACAATTGGGGAAAATATTTTTTATCTAAAGGCATATATGAACTTACAGATTAGTAATCCTCCTATAAAATTTTTATCAAAGTCGGTTCAGTCGTTTAGTTTTATCTCCATTTACCATTATTATCTCTTCTATATCTACATTGAAAAAAGCACGTCATTTTTATAAAAAAAAATTTGGCGATTTTTTCTATGCACTAACGAGACTATCTAGATATTATTAATCTAGTCATATACATAAACTTACTAAAAATAAATTTCCTCTTCGCCTGCAGAATGGTGCACCTAGTAGCAATGGAAGTGCTTCCAGAAGAGCGGGAGCGGAAGTACTACCAGGAGCGATACACTTGCTGCCCGCCGCCCCTCTTTATTATCTGCGTCACACTGCTAGAGGTAATTCATTACTGTCCATTTTAAAAAACAATGTTATTCTATTTTATATCTACAAATCGTACCTACATTGTTGTCCGTACCTATTTATTTATATCATAGTGATAGAATAGAATAGAAATAACCTTTATTTAAATAGACTTGTTTACAAGCTCTTTTAAATCGTCACTTTTTATAATTTTACCGCTGGGTTAAAAATAATATTAGCTAAAAAAAAATCCGCAAGGAACTCTGCAATGGCTCTTCATATTAATTTATGTACAAAATTATTCTACATTTGTTTCATTATAATGACTATAAATAACTTTATTTTATTTTTAAGTATGTATTATTTAAAAGCAAAGATTATTTAATTATATACATGTAAATATAGTATACATGATACATAGATTGCATAATATTATACATATTAATCTACTGTTAAATATAAGAAATGTAGAGTCTAATACTTAGTTTTTTTTTATTTTCCATTAATCATATTATATTTAAGTGTAATAACTATCGGTTTAACTTACGTGTAATTTAGTTGAGAAAGCTCGTAGTTTTGAAACCATCCGTGACCCTTAGTTTTGAGCGGCTGTGATAAAGGCGCGAGCCTGAGTTTAAAGTTTAAGGGCCTTTAATGAAAGCTTAAAGGAGCCTTACATTAAAATATAATGTGTACTTATGAACTTTTAACAATAAATTTATAGTATCAAACTACAATATATACTTAGTAGTTATACCTTCAACAGCTATTTCGCACATTATACCTTAAATTGCCAGTGCCACTCGTGTGTAGATACACACGAGTTTCAATTTACTATTGTACCAATGTGGTGCATCACTTTCTATTCTGCCCGAGCACCGCTGCTCGATCCCCGCTCTAGTTACTTCGGTTAATTAAAATTTGTAATAGCGGATTTCACATCCGTGCAAACAAGCGGTTTACGTGAAACATAACAAACGGTCGGCGCACGCGCAAGTCGCGCGCCCATGCGCCGCGCCGGCTAGCGTCCGGTGGGGTGACGCGCGAGCGCAATGCTAAAATACTATGCAAAATGTATAATATGACCATTATTATACTTTAACTCCACCTATAACTGTAATAAAGGGAGTTACAGCGAGTATTTGTAGCAAACTCAAATTGTGTAAATGTTTGGACCTACTTCATATAAAAAAGAAATTGTATCCTATATTTAATCTAGAAAATCCCCAAATATCTATGTTGCGAACAGAAAAAAAATGTTGAACAAAAATTATAACAAATATTTTTAATATACAAAAAGAGCAACTCAATCCCCACGCATATCGGCAAGACAAGTAACTGCTTATTATTCACTTTGTGTTCTCATAAGTCCGTTGATTCACGCACACGATGATCCTCTTTAGTGCGTGCTGCTTTATTCCAATTGTTAAACGATACTTTTAACGGTTTTCCCTCAATGAATAATTCAATAAAACGTCATTAATTACGTTTACGTTTTGCACTGATAAGACTTAACCACAATACTAAATATATTTCCTCTATGAGAGTAAGCTAAAACATTATTATATTATAGAATGAACTATATGTATGTACATGTAATAATTATTATTAATTTATTAATCACTGCATATGCAAAAGATCTGCTAACTCTACTGCCTACTTAATATTCTAAACGTGAAAGTTTGTAAAGATTTTTGGATGTTTGTTGCTCAGTCTGTGCTAAACTTTGAATGAATCTTGGTAGATTCATTCATATAGTTCATCTGTGTACCAAAACAGGTGAACTATATACTAGATCAGCAATTTCTATAGTGGGTTCCGCGGAACCTAGTTTAGAAACCTCTGTTTTATATTAACAGAAAGAATATTTTTTTTTTTAATTTGAAGTAAAAATGCACTTAAGCAAAGTCACACGATACAGTTTACTATAAAATGACAAAAATGAATTAGCATAACCATACCATAACCCTAAGTCGAAAACCTTTAGTGTTATACTTTCAAAATATTCTTAATAAAAGCTTTTATTTTTATTTCAATTACAGTGTTTTTAATTTGTAATCATTTGATATGAAGTTTCATAAAATAAAAGATATTTGATTAGCGTTCCGTTTACTTAAAAGTTTAGGAACCTCTTTTCTAGATTAACAGAGATTTTTTTTTATTGTAAGTAAGAATGCACTTAAGAAAAGCCACACGATACAGTTTACTATAAAATGACAAAAATGAATTAGCATAACCATACCATAACCCTAAGTCGAAAACCTTTATAAAAGTTAACCTCAAAATTAACATATCGCTAAGCTTCGTTTTTGATAACGTACACTTTTTTTTATAATCGCGTGACTTTGACGATCTACGTAGCGCGACAGTCTGTTGCTATACTACTAAGATCCTATAATAACTTTGATGCTCGGTCGGAGTAATTTAGATGAATTTTCAAAATTATTTCATTATAACATGTCGATAAATAAATAATGTAATAATTAATTCGCATATCGCAACTATTAAATACACTATTGTTATAATGTGATTTTATTTAAATACGTGATAATGGAATGGTAATCTCGACTATTTTATCGGTTTACCATACCGAGATATCAATAAGTGGATGATAGTTTAAAAATAAAAGCAGGTCAGTTGGCCCATCGTGACGAATTCACTAGAAATTAATCACGATGTTTCCGTGGAAAACGCGTGGTGGTCGTATATATCAATAGAGCATAAAATAATATAAATAGGAATATAAATAGTCCTCGTTAGTAACAATCCTTTCCCTCTGTTGCAATACGATTATAAAGCCGCCTTACGTACGTACGAGTATACCCCATACTATACGAATGTCTATCTTCATTCTTTTAGCCTAATTCTAACTTAAATTTCCAGTTGGGCGTGTTTGCATGGTACGCATCGAGTTCTAGTGGAGTGGCAGCAGCGGCGGGCCCCGTGCCCGTAGACTCGCCCCTAGTGTACCGACCAGACCGCCGCCGCGAGTTATGGAGGTTCCTCACATACAGTGTGGTCCACGCTGGCTGGCTACACTTAGCATTCAATCTTCTCGTACAGTTAGCGGTGAGTGTCACTGAAGTGTTTGTTTTTTACCCGACTGCTAAAATAAAGAGAGTAATGTTTTTCGCGAGTATTTACGTATGTCTGTATATTTATAAATACCTACTGTGTTCGTAGTTTGTAAATGAGAGGTCGGTTTAATCCAATCCAAGGTGAGATAACGATAAAGAAGTCAGTTAACTCACCCTAATAAAATAACCATAACGGTTTTCAAGAGAAACCATAAAGCCTACCTGACTGACTGCTTGCTAGCAACAGAGTATATAATCTTTATTACTAACTTCTCTTCTTTATAACTCTTCTCCATCGATCTATAAGACATAATTTTTTGTTCAAAACTTTTTAAGGGTTCTAGTAGGACTGTCCTCGCTATTTGAAACGGTAAAGGGTCTCCCCGACTTTAGTGAAGATAATGGTAATTAACAAGGGAGGCAATGTGAATATTGTTACTTACAAAGGGTCTTAATAGGAGCAAATGTTAAACCACTGCACTGCCAAGCTCTCAATCTCGTCAATAAAAAATTGTATTTCTCATCGACAGGTGGGTCTACCACTTGAAATGGTACACGGTGCGCTCCGTTGCGGCGCGGTGTACCTGGCGGGGAGTACTGGGAGGCTCCCTGGCGGCATCGGTGCTCGACCCGGACGTGTGCCTGGCGGGAGCGTCTGGTGGCGTGTACGCGCTACTGGCGGCACATCTGGCCAACGCCCTGTTGAACTTCCACGCGATGCGGTACGGTGCCGTGCGGTTGGTTGCCGCGCTGGCGGTCGCCTCGTGTGACGTGGGCTTCGCAGTCCACGCTAGGTATACTAAGGTGAGTAACTCATATCTGAGTAATAACATGCTCTCGACTTTATTCCCCGAACGTTAGCCAGATAGTATTGCGTATCTGAATGTTTAAATTTAATTATAATCGTAACAGCCCATTATCATCCCTGCTAGATACGAGTCTCTAACTGTAAAATCAAGATATTTAATATCCTATTACCACGTTGCTCTTGCAGCTTTTTGCAGGGTTTAAATTTTAATAATAAAATTATTTTTATGCCATCTATTAATTGCATACTTTAATATTAAAACTCCTTAAATTTATAATGTCATTTTACACAATTAATTAGTAAATTCACTCTTAAAGAGAAGATTTTATACTCAAAGCTTTGTTTTTTAAAACGTTATGAGTGTCGAAAGCTATTGTTAGATCAGAGTCCCACATTTAAACGGTTAGTTACTACGGCTGACGCTTGCCAAATGAATCGACGCCAAATCGTCAAATACACACCATTTATAATGAATTCTATCACCTCCATATACACCTACCTATTTATATATTACAAATAACAATTGCCTAACCATAATATTTCGTTTGTCAAGCAGGAAGCGCCGCCGGTGTCGTACGCGGCACACGTGGCGGGCGCGCTCGCCGGACTCACTATCGGCCTGCTAGTATTGAAACACGCACAACAGAGGTTGTGGGAGAGGTTATTATGGTGGGCGGCGCTAGGAGCATACGCTGCATGCACTCTCTTCGCTGTCCTCTACAACATCTTCAGTGGACCCGTGGACGAGCTCCATTATATGCCGCCAGATCCACCGCCCGACGTCGCCGGCTTCTGACCTAACAATGTCACACGACACCGCCTGCTGACCAAAAACTTAGGCTTTGACGACATCCACTAGTTTCTCTAATCGCAGACTGTTGAGCTAACTACATAGGGACGAACGATTACGAAACCCGATTTTCAAGATAATCCTTACGATAGATACGCACCAAATAGTAGATTCTAGAAACTAAGTACGACCTAAAAATATAAACTTGAGAATATTTATTGCCAAAAATGTCCATAACACACGTTGCAATATACACGTTTATGAAATCAACTTTAAAAGGCAATAAGACATGATACAAATCTCGACACATGATTACCGCCGATATTTTATTGTAAGATAAAAATAGAGTCAAAGCTTAAGTCTAGATCACGCAACGAGTGCGACCTACCACGCCTAGTCAATTTACCTTAGTGTGATTCGCTATAAGTAGCGCTATGTTCAGAGGAGCCTCATCAGTTTACACGACGTGTATTTTGCCTATTTCACAGAAGATTCATGAATCTTTACGTTTTTTACAAGTCAATTGTTAAAATTGATGTTGCGCCGTTAGTTGTATTGAGGCTTCCTCGCAATACTTAATTGTTAAGTAGTAATAATTATTGTATTGGATAGGTGAACTATTTTTGTACCTACTCTCTGCGTCCGTAGTCTATAGGATGATGGCGTTGCCACTACACATACACAATAATATGTTCCCGTGTGGACTGACCAACTCGACTAAATGTTATGTTAAATTTTATAGTAATATTATAATGTTTTATTCATTAATTGTTGATATATGCCACACAATGTTAACATTGCATTTAGTTAAGAAAGTCAGCGTAGTTATGCCCTGCACACCAAAGATTAGGATTAAATGTCATTCCTACTCGTATGTTGGAGACGATCTGATTCTATCCTCATTTGTTTTTATCTGATTTAATGTTGTGAAAATAGAATTTACTTCAAGTTTGCTCAGAATATAATACTATAAGTATGCCTCAATAATGAGTTAACATGCTTAATATTAGAATATATAAGTAATGTTGTATAAAATGCTCAATATCAGTTACTTTTTATTCTAAAATAATGCTCAATAATGAGTTTTTTTTTTTATTTAATGGGATCAATTTGATGATAGAAAATGAAAAATTTTCTCATTTTATTTTCCCGTAGTGAATTCCATTATTATTGGACCACATAATCTCCACTTCATAGAACTATTTGGACTCACTAGAATAGATAGATAATTGATAATAATGTGCCTGATTCCTATTATTATAAACTTGATTGTATACTTTTAATTCTAATCAAATAATGTCACGACTGATTTTTTGTATAAATTATTACAGAGTGTTTTTCATTTAATTTATTTTAAAATTATTTTAAGTGTGAATCAAAATAATTATAATTATGTGATTATATGAATGAAAATAAGAATGATTATGATTAAAAGTGATTGGAAATCGTATTTTCGTCGTTTTGTTTCTACAACTCCTCTGCCATAAAGAAATACTCAGAAACAAAGTAGAAAGATAGAAATTAATAACAAACTAAGTAGTTTTATTATTATATTCTTCATTATGCTCGTCTTACATTTTGCAACATGTCTGGATTCAGAATTAAGAAAAATAATCATTCAATAAATTCTATAGCTATGTATTGGCATTACATGTTATAACATCAATTCTTGGGAATCAAAATGAATCCATTTTTAATAAACTGTACTACACGTAAAAAAAATCAGTACATCTGTATCAGTTTTGAGATTAGCGAAAATAATAAATACATATTGTCGCTTACGAAGCCGAAGTTCAAAAGTACGTTCTAAAGAGGCCGACGGTAGCTCGAACCCACAGGGGCGTCTCTCGATGCTCCAGCTCTTTGCCACATTCCGATGCATACTCATGCAGCTTTGTACATTCTTCGTGTAGCCTCTCCTGAAATTAAACAAATCGAACATCCATTTTATTCCACTATATGAAATGAAATTATCATGAAATTGTCGTTTAATTTTCTCGATTGTAAAAATTAACAACTCTGTGATTAACTACAAATAATTTGATTACTGATTTAGTAGTGTTGCATTACATACTTCAAAACCCTTTTGACCCATTATAAATATAGAACCGTTTTATTAGTTCGAGATAAATTTTAATATATTAAACTAACAGATACAGTTATAGTAGATGTAATATTTATGATAATTGCTGCTTGTTATAATTACTTAATACTAGCGACCCTGGTCGGTTTCGCATGAGTACATAGAATTTTCGAACATAATAAATAACCTGTGTTGCTGAAAATGTAACTCTCTATAGGAGAAAGAATTTTTAAAATCACTTAAGTAGTTTTTGAGCCATTTGTAATGGATAAACAATCAAACCTTTTTTCTTCTATTATAGGTAAACTAGTTTACTATTTTTGGTTTTTGTCATATAAATATTCTCTCATTAAATAAATTCTAAACTAATAAAATATAGAGTACTAATAAATAGAGGTACTACTAACCTGTAAATCAGATGATTCAGTAATAATAAGAGCTTGAGCTTCTAAATCCCGGCGTACCGATCGCTCTCCAAGGTTTGCAGAACCGACCAATGTCGCCCAGGGAACTCCACTTCCTGGGGGATAATACCTGGAAGTAAACATTTCTCTAATAATATTATGTACCACCTCTTCTTTTTACCTCCAAGACGCTTAAGGATGCTTAAGAAAACCTGTAATATGCTAGTAAAAAACTGTCATACCATAATCCTTTCGCATGGAATGTCCATCCTGGCCGTTCATATTCCATCATAGAGACCCTGCTTTCTTGATTGGAATCTACCACTCTCTGCCAGAATCTAAAACATATAGTAGATTTATCATAATTATCATATCAGCTGTTAACTTTCCACTTCTCAATATGAGCCTCCTTCATAAAAGTTTTGCCAGTAGTCGCCACGCTTGGCAGGCAGGTTGGAAATCGTATAATCCCATCCCTCGACCATTAAGTTCCCTTAGTCGCCTCTTACGATACCCATGGAAAAAGGTGGCCTATTCAATGCTAAGAAAACTCTGCAACAGTAAATTAATAAATATTAATTTAAAAAATAATATCATGAATCGAATTGACTAATAACAACCATACTGATACTGACAACAATTATGCTTTACATCCATATTATTTCTTTATTTACTGAGGCAAAAGCATGAGTTAAAAAAAGAAGCTTGCTGTTATGTATTAGAATCAATAGATTAGCTATGAAACAAACACAGTACCTAATAATAACAATATACTTCAAATACAGTTCAGTAGTTTAACAGTAAGGATACATATAAGAAACTTATGAACTTATTTCCACATTTAAGATTTTAACAAAAAATAAAGAAAATCTTACTTCTTAGCTATCAAAGAATATGCATGTGGTATACCACCGGCAGGTCCGGCTGCTCCTAAAAAGCCATTAGCCTGTAAATAAAACAAGTTTTCATCAATTGCGCCTCTATATCTAGACATCAAGATGTGACTAAAGAACAAAATATAATACAACAGTGCAAAAACAAAAGGAAAACTTGAAATTAAAATATATACAAATCTGTGGTCTAGCATGATAATAGCAAACCATATCCTCCGCTTATGAGAGGACTTTGGCCAATAGTGGAACTTTGCTGTATTTTAAAATAATGTAAGGTATCAATAACTGAATAATATTATAAGGGACTCTGATTTAAAATCTTCCATTAAAAAAATCAGTAAAATAAGGTAATATCTTACATTTGGATGTGCCATCAACAAGCTTATCTTTGATTTGCAATTTCTGAGTAGTGTTTGTGCATATTCTTCCGTAAGATTAAAATAACCTGTGGCCAAGCGTATGTAGGAACCCTTAGGTGTTGAGGCAAGTATCCTTTGTGTTGCCTGTTCATCTTGAGTTATTTTGAATTCCCCCATTTGCAACAATGGGAAGACCCATGTGTCTGCATTGGACTCTTAAAATATAACATGCTTTTAATTAACTATTAACATTTATTCTTCACTTAAAGTTCTTATATATATTGATTACTTACTTATAGGTATTGATTACAAAAATAATAAAAAACATAGTAATTTAACTGAGATTTTTACAATCAAAAGTAAATGATTTTGTATGTGTGGAGTAATATTAATGAGAATCTTAATTGCTCTGCCTTACTTATTATTACTGATTAACATAGAACTAAAACAATATTCTGAATATTATGTGTGGATATTTGTTACTGAGTCACACATAAATACTCAACAGATTTGAATAAAGTTAGTGACTTTGGCATTAAAGGATATAACATTTAATTTTATACACATTTATTGATTTTATGTGTCTGTATACTATAAAACTTAATAGACCCATAAAAATAGATTATATTATTATATATACATACCTTTTAAATTTCTCTGCGAAGTAAGTTTTCTTTCTTGTGTTCTTATCCATTTGTCAATTAATTTCAAAATAACTTTGTTCATTTCCTTTGCCATTTCTTCTTTTGAATATGAACTGTGGTATATTTTGCCATCAACACTACACTTTTTGCTAAAATTACACACTTCATCTGCAAACAAATGTACATTCAAAATACTTTTTACTAGATCAATAATATTTAAAGTTTTAATGTATATTGATTAAAATAATTATGTAATATATTTATTAATTAAATAATTATTCACTATTAAAAAAATATAAATATACAAAATCAAAGATATAACAAAATGTTAAATAAAAAAGCAATATTTTTAACAACTTCAATTTTAATACTTGTTAAAATGAAAGAAAAGTAAATATATATATATATATATATATATATATATATATATATATATATATATATATATATATATATATATATATATATATTAAATTGTAAACCTCTTTGTAACTTACAAATGCAAAAAAGATATTATAATTTGGAGCTGTTTAAAAATATATGTAGTATTTTTTAACCATAAAGAAATTTACTGAACTATAATAACTGAATTATAATAGTCTTTCCCATTCTGAATACATTTTCATTTAACTAATGTAAAAGGTTTACTTTATTCCTATCCCACAATCATAACCTATCAATTTTGTAAAAATTGAAGTTTGATATATTCTAATTTAGTTTTTTTTCATTAAACAAAACTTAAATTAACAGAAAAAATTCATTAGCAACAACTTACAGTCATCATACCTATAAGTTCACTATAAAAATTTGCAAGATCAACATCCTCAATTTCAACATAACGATCCTGACGCTGTTGGAAGTAATCATTGGAACAATTAGCACCACTCAGTAGCACTCTGTTGTCAGCTATGTACAATTTCATGTGCTGAAGACCAACCAGCTCATTGTACCGTGACGGTAGAGCTTTAGACCAAGACATTTGTAACTTAGGTGTTTGGTACAGTGATACACTACATAAATTAGGTACAGCATTTATTACTTCTTGCAATAAGGTCTTAGAATTGACCACGCCCCGGGTACCGCGTTGATAATCTAAGAGAACTTGAAACCGCAGCTCCTTTTGTAATACGTTTTCCTTTGTAATTTCTAGAAGTTTCCTTTCTAATACACCTGTACCAATATATAAACTGGCAATAGAAATCCTTCGGGTTGCATTTTTAAACCTTTCTGTAATCGTATCGTAAAACTTTCTGGGATCGGTAATAATATTAATTTTTGATGACTTCACAGGGAAACATGGTGCTACACCGTACAACCAATTAAAATATTGTAATTCTGTTGGTTTAAATCGTAATGATAAATTTCCATTAAACAACATTGTACTTTAGTCTGATAAAAAGGTTAGTTTCACACCAATTAAATCCAAGAGAAAACAAATACGAAATTTGTTATAAAAATTATAATAAACCAGAAACAATTAATAATAATTGTCTAAGAAATTAAAATATAAAACAAAGATAATTTTCATATGAACATACATTGGTCGTAACTTGAGAAAACTTATAAAATTGACACTTTGAGATTTTTGACAGTTCAACTGTCAGTTGCTTAATGTAACTGACAGTTGCAATCAGGCCTGGACATCATTCTTTAAACCAATCACTAAAATTGTTTTATTTTGATGGTTTTCCGAAAAAACTGTTTCATGGATCATTAGAAAATAAATTTAATAAATAAAAATTTTGCTGTGATATTAAATTGAAATTTCAATTTTAGAGATAGATTTAGAGAATACGTCGGAGAATCTACCCCAGTGATGTCTACTTACTATAGAATTCTACCAATTATTTCTGTGTATTCAAATGCTAATCGTAAACGCAATATAACCACGTATCATGAATAATACTATGATAATACTGGGTTATATACTGAATATTCCATAATATTGCTCTAAATCATATCTTACTGAAGTAATAAAACTGTACATTAGGGATTTTTGTAACAGCTGTAGAAACCAAAACAATAAAGTATAGATTTTTTCTCTGTTAGTCTATATGTTTGTTCTGGCGTTATACAAAAACTGCTTACTCCAAATGCGATTTTTTGTGTTCTTGATTTTAAATCTAGTGTATGTTTTATCTTGATACGCGCCGTGTAGTAAAAGTTACATACTTCAAACATCCACGCGTACACAATTATGGGTAAAAACTAGTAACATGTATCACACTATAATAATAATAGAACCGGTACCAATTTTCAAGTAAACGTCCATTCTTTTCAACCAATATCAAAAAGAAGGTTCTCAATTCGGTTGTATTTTTATCATGTTTGTTACCGTATAAATCCGTCAGTTGTAAACTAATTTAGATTTTCTTATCTAAAGAGGTATACTTACAAATTGTTGCCATAGAAATTTTATCAAAATCGGTTTAGTAGTTTAGTTTTAAATCAAAATAACTGGTTTTATCATAATTGAAGATTTTTTTTTTGGAACATAATTTCATTATTTATAATTTAATGTGGAATATCGATGTTCGAGTGTTGCTATAAGTAATGAAAAAGTAGCAGTGAATTAAAAAAATATTTTATTCTTACTATTAGATATGTAACATTTAATACAAATAAAACAGAAAGGAATAGAATTTCAACATTCTAAATATTATTATAAAAATACCTGTTTGTGCACTAGCCATATTCCTGATTTATCAAAGAATGTTAATAACTAATTATTCATCAATATTTACAATCACAATGCTTATTTATATATATTGATCAATTTAAATGCTAATTATCATAATACAGTAAGTATCTAATACAAAAATTAATAAATATACCTACAAATAGGCATTTATTATTAACTATTAATTTAATAATTGTTTTAATATTACATGGATCATTAAGAAGTATTATACCGATACTTATTCATAATTACTGTTGCTCATATTGTTCTTCGAAGACCTCGCCTTGATTTATTCCATAAAAAATCTTTTTATCCTTTATGTATGCCCACGACATTCTCTTAGATGAAAAATGTATGCCAATATCACCATTTTTAGATAAAGTTATAGCGCCGGCCGTATTATTTAAACGAGACGTCATACCTAAACAAAAATAAAAAGTTATGAAATAAAGATGCATATAAGCATATGTTACCTATAATAATAATAATAATAATAATCAGTAAGATGTTAGGTTAGGATGAAGTCAAATCAGTTGGTCTATCATAACAAATTCACTAAGAATTAACCCGATTAAGGTACGGTTATATTGCTCATTTGACTTCATTGCCCCAGTTCATGATGATTTTCTGTAATTATGCTACAAAATAAACATCCCGCTCTATCTTAAATTAAATTAGGCTTAAATGTGGTGTTTTCAACTGATTGACTTATAAAATAATAAGGAAGGGTAAAAATACTATATAAAATTCATTATTGTAGTAAAACAGATCCAAATATCTTTATTAATCTTACCATTGACTGCTTTTTTCGTAGACGTATTTGCATCAAGTCCATCCTCCATAAGTTTAATAATACTATGAGCTAAGCAGTATTTGAGTATGGATTCTCCATGACCTGTAAGGTTACATAAATACTTTATTACATTAGCAGTAACCTCGATTTTAACTCGAAAATATCATCAATATTGTTAAAGTTATACATTCATGGAACACGGTTAGAGTACCAACTGTCTCCACCAAAACACATGTTGTAAAATATTTTTATTAGAATCAATTTAAAATAAATATACAAACATTACCTATTCACAATTATTAAATTAATAATTATTACTCTACTTCATCCAAAGGTTGCCTGGAAAAGATCGTTCTTAGCAATAAGGCCGCCCATTGTTTTCTTAGTGTAATAATTTCTTGTAATTGTTTGTATTTATAATAAGTTAACTATTGTAATTTTATGGAAGAACCAATAAAGAGTACCTATCTTTATATTTAGACAATTATTAAGAAGAAGAATATTATTCTCATAGTAATAAAATCATACCTATAAAATCTACCTAATTATCGATGTTTACGTAGTTTTATATACCTGTGGTAGAAACTCCTCCAACAAGATCGTCTGCATAAGTTCCACTGCCGATTTGCGGAGTATCCCCTATCCGGCCAATCGCTTTTCCACTCATGCCACCAGTGCTAGTAGCAACGGCAACGTGTCCATTACTGTCAACTGCCACAGCACCCACAGTTCCAACGCCTGCCTGTAAATTAATTGCAATTTTTTTTTTAATTCTTTGTAACGTATTCCAATGCATGGATTACTGTATTGTCGCTTTTAATTTCGGTAAGACGTAAGCATGGATGGATGTACGACTACAAAAATAGTGTAGTTAAATGAACGTGAAGATAAACATTTTCTCTAGTTTGGCGAATTCCTTATATTAAGAAAATAAAACTAATTTGTTCAAAACAGAAAAAAAAAACAAATTATTTTAGAATACTACTTATATAAAAAATCCATAACTTAGTAGAAAGATCTTTGAAAATATACAAAGAGAAGTCATTAAGACGTCTATTAAAAGATATAGTTAATTTCAATTGTTTTGTAAATCATAGATAGATCTTTTTAAAGTCATAAACGTACATATTATTGAAATCTATATGCCTACTAGTTTCAAATGACGTCTAAATTCAATCAAAATCAGCAGTAATAACAATATAAATCTAGAAAACAAATTGATTGAAGTAATGATAGACTTATTGTTGTGCCACTTTGAATATTTGCGTGAATTTACTGGGTACAGAGGAATAACATCTGAGTCCTCAGGAATGGCAACGCATGGGGGGTATCATGGGCGAAACAGTATACTCTGTTATGTCCATGGTACTGCTTATGTCTATAGGCGACGGTTACCACTTTCCATCAGATGGGCCGTCAGCTTGTTTGCCATTCTAAGTTGTATAATAAAAAAAATATGCTCAACAAAATGCAGCCATATTGAGTATAATGTTCTATACAATGTTTAACAAATACCTCATACAACCCAATTAGAAATTACAGTCATTAACATACTTTTTTAATCTAATAATGATTAAAACTATAAACCTCATATAAATTATTATATATTGTACACTACACATATCGTGCGTGACTGATAGATTCTTTCATTTTTTACTAGCATTAATTTCAGTGCAACCTCTAAAAAATATCATAATGAAATACAAGTAAGTTTCAAATAAATAAAATACTATTTATTAATACTGTTATACGTTGTAAATCTTCTATTAAACAGTAATGTGATTATATCATTTCGAAACTGTATACTTAAGCTGTCAGTAAATACGACACAAACTTTTTATCAAATAGCAAACAGTTGTTAATAATTATATTTATAATGTACTTAAACATTTTATCGCAATTTTATGACTAGTTACTGTTGAATTTATAAATATAATATAATAGTATTATAAAATATATACTAAGTAAATAGAACAACAAAATAAATGCTCACTGGCTCACAATTACAATTTCCGATGGGACAATAAAAATATTTTGTCGATACAACTTCGGTTAAATAGTAAGTGTATTCGACAATTTTGGCGAATATATTAGTATCAAATGTGGTAATGGGCGAGCACATAAATATACCAGAATATTTGGTATTAACAATGTTCGAGCATATATTTTATTATACAGTCTTTCATCAATCGGCATATTGTAACAGAACTCAGAACTCAAAAAAGGTAGTCAGAAATAAAAATTGACAGAAACCCATACTTTTGCAAATGAAAATAATGAAATTTTGTCACAACCTTCTCACAATGAATAATATGGCACAATGTATAAATTATCAAATAGTATTCATTTACCTCGTCCATCCCAATTTCAGTTCTACCAAATTCACCATGTTTCAAGAAATCTTCCAATGCTTTCTTTGCATGTGGACTTATCAATGATTTTGGATCTACTGTGTGAAATCCCTGCAATTATGATGTATATTTATTTATTTATATTATTGAATAATTAAAGCAAACTAAATAATTAAAACAAACTTATTATGTATCAGATAAATTAATTTACAAAAATTTTGCTTGTAATATAAAAGATATGTATTAGTCTACTATTAATCTATGTTATCCCGCTGCCAAGAAAATCACCCTCCTTTTTTTTTAAATTCAAACAAACTAAAAGACATAAATGTTAATGTTATCATTATTATATTGTTAAGAATGCCTACTGCACACGTCGATAGAGACATTGAAGTAGACGCCGTAACCGAAATAGATAGGAAGATTCATAAGAATTACAATATTGTGATTACGGCTATAATTTATAACAATTTACATTTACAATGCCTAAAATAAACACTTTAATAATTATTTTCATAGTATAATCTTTATTAAAAAAAAACCGTTCTTTGAATTATTATCATTGTTATTATGAAATAATGAAAATCGATAACGCTATGAAATAGTAGTCTACCTTATCCAAGGCGAAAATTTTGGCACCTTCTCCACCTAGCAAAGAATGCGGCGAATCTGTCAATACTTTATGAGCAATGCTTATAGGATGTAGAAAATCTTTAATTAGAGTTACTGCACCAACATCAAGATTTTTGCCACACATAATGCTTGCTTCCATTTCCACTTCACCACGTAAGTTCAATACAGATCCATATCCTAGAACACAAGTATTAAATATTTATCAAAATACATTTAACCAAATATTGGTTTGGACGTAATGCTGCAACTGCTTTATTATAAAATGCAACACATATTTTATACAGAGTGCTAAACAATATAATTACTGGTATTTATCAAATGTGGTTAATACATTGTTAAAAAAAAAAACAAAAAAAAAGTTGAAGAAAATGCATTATACTTTATCTTCCTGGTCATTACACTCGAATATACATTAAATAAACTTAAATACTTTACCAATCTTCAAGTATCCAAAAATTTATTAACGCAGTTATATATATGTCATGATATATAGATATACTTATAGATATTAGATTTAGAAGAGAGCAAATGGTTCAATAAATCGTTGCTTTGATTTTCATCATCAGCACGAATAAGAATTGCTGAACTTATTTACATATAAAAAAATTATAAAATAATAACTACTTCTACCAAGACTATATTATTCTACTAGCGGCCCGTCTTGACTTCGCACGGGTGGACATTTTAGCATTTTAAAAAGTGGCCATTAAGACTGCACACGTAACGGAAGCTTAAAAATGGAGTAACTTCTCCCGTTTTCCCAACATTTCTCTTCACTGCTCTACTCCTATTGATCGTAGCGCGATGAAAAGTATACTATAACCTGCCTAGGAGTATGAAGAATAATTGTACCAAGTTTCGTTAAAATCCGTCGAGTAGTTTTTGTTTCTATAACGAACATACAGACAAATAGACAGACAAAAATTTTACTGATTACATTTTTGGCATCAGTATCGATCACTAATCATCCCCTCATAGTTATTTTGGAAATATATTTCAAGTACAGAATTGACCTCTCTACAGATTTATTGTAAGTATAGATTATTTTTGTGTAGGTACAACTGCACAATATTCAACAAGACTTTGTAATGACCTTTTTAAGGTAAATAACGCTTCGACTGTGGAATGAGCTTTACCGACGTTTTCCTAGAGACTATAGTATAAGGTCCTTAAAAAATAATGTATTAAGATTTCTTCAGAATTGGCAACACGCACGTGGCACACCTAGTGGTATAGAAGTCCATAGGCTTTACTATCAGACGGGCTGTACACTTGTTTGACACCTTCATAATATAAAACAAAAATTTGCAGTTCTTCACGTGTAAATAAAATTTCATAATAATATAATTTCTTACCAGCATTAAAATATTCATCTTTTTCCATAGAAACAACAGCGGCCTCAACAGCATCTAAAGCGCTGCCACCTCTTACCAATATTTCATGTCCTGCAATGACAGCCTTTTTGGATCCATCTAACTTGCCTTTTACACGACTATCGGGAACATCGCCGGCCCCTCCGTGGACTATTATTATTGGATTCATCCTTCGGTGTGAAATATATAAATATAAATTTTAACAAAAAAGTCCGACCAAGTACGATTGCTGGTTCAATCGCCGATGGTTCCGTACTTAAATAATTTTGTAAAATATTTTTTTATTGTTCGTGATAATAAAACTTATTTAATTAAGTAGAGATTTATCTCATGGTCTTGCTTTCTTAAAAGATAATATTTACACAATATATATTTAGACAGCCTTTAAAATAAAATTACATAAAAATATTTTTTTTATCAATTTATTATCACTTCGAAGTGTACTCCTTGTATTACTACTAGCTATTAATAAATTTTATCCACTATATCTTAAAGTTTTTCCTTAATTACAGTAAATTAAATTATCCTTTAAAAAACGAAAATAAACTAAATTTGTTTTATTCATAAATCCCGCCAAATACTACCGATCATTAAGGTGTAATATGAATTCTTATCTATCTTGCTCTAACTTAGGCTCTAACATACACGTTATTGTTTTTATTTTCTTTTGCGGTCTTTATTTTTTTATCTACGTGATGAAATTGTTAAAATTACCTAATAAAAGTAAAAATTAAAATGTGACTTGTCTCACCTTAAGTTAGATCAAAATTAGGGACCGTAATTGTAATTGTAATTGACCGTAATTGTAATTAGACGACAAATATTACATCCAAAATACTGACTAAAAAGTA